TGACCCCCGTCCGCTCACAGACCCTCCGCGGAAGCGCGTGGACTCCCCGATGCTGAACCGGCACGGCAAGCGGCGGCCCGAGCGCAAGTCCATGGAGGTGCTCAGCGTGACGGACGGCGGCTCCCCGGTGCCCGCGCGGCGCGCCATCGAGATGGCCCAGCACGGCCAGAGGTGTGTGTGCCCCGAGGGGCCCGAGCCGGGCGGCATCGCCTGCCCTGCGGACTGCCGGGCTCACCTCTGCCCTCCGGCCTGGGATCTGGGCCGAAGCCGCGGGGTGGCGTTGCATGGGCTGGGCTGGGCTGGACCGGATTGGCCTGGGCTGGGCCGGGTTGTGCTGGACTGGACCTGACTAGGCTGGATTGGCCTGGGCCGGACTGGCCTGGGCTGGGCTGGACTTGGCTAGCCTGGGCCGGACTGAACTGGGCTTGATTTGGCTCGGGTGGGCTGCACTGGATTTGGCTGGGCTGTGCTAGACTGAACTGGACTGGACTGGGCTGGACTGGGCTGGGCTGGGCTGGACTGGGCTGGGCTGGACTGGACTGGATTGGGCTGGGCTGGAATATGCCGGGCTGGACTGGACTGTGCTTGACTGGGCTGAACTGAACTGGGTTGGACTGGACTGGGCTGGACTGGCCTGAGCGTGCTGGTCTGGATGGGACTGGACTTGGCTGACTGAGCTGGGTTGAGCTACACTGGACTGGACTGGGCTGGATCTGACTGGGCTCTCCTAGACTTACCTGAGTGCACTGGACTTGACTCAGCTGAACTGGACTTGACTGGACATGACTAGGTTTGGCCGGACTTGATTGAGCCAGGTTGGGCTGCTGAGCTGGGCTGGGGTGGACTGGAAGGGACTTGCCTGGGCTGGGCTAGATTTGGCTGGGCTGGACTAAACTAAGATGGACTGGGCTGGGCTGGGCTGGACTTGGCTGGGCTGGGCTGAATCGGGCTGGACTTGTCTGAGCTGGGCTGAGCTGAATCGGGCTGGACTTGTCTGAGCTAGGCTGAGCTGGGCTGGACTTGGCTGGCCGAACTGAGCTGGGCTGACCTGAGCTGGGTCAGGCTGCGTCCTGCCTTAGGCTGAGCCCGTCTCTGGGTGGCCAGTGACGGGTCGCAGGCAGGAAACGGGGAGTTCTGGAAGTGACACGTGGGTCTGAGCTGTCGGGACGCACCCGTGAGAGGGAGGGAGGGCACCAGGCCCTCAGAGCCTCAGTGCTCAGGACAAGTGCGCGAGAAGCCTCAGCCAACCCCTGGAGCCGAGTGGCCTCTTGGGGAACCCACTTGCTAGGTGGGGGCTCAGGCCTCCAGGGACAGCCCTGGGTCCAAGTGCACACTGGGGGTCCCTGCAGCCCTGGCCACCCTTGGTCAGCCCTGCGGTCTGGGCCCAGGCCTCCGCCGCCCCCTGTACCGGGATTTGGGTGTTTGGGAAGGCCAGACCTGCTCCTGGGGAATTTGCCGGAAACTGTGGAAACCGTGGGGAACTGCATGGGGCTACCAGGCTAAGATGGTTCTAGCCCTAGCCACAACCCGAGTGCTGGGGGCTTCAGTTCTGCTGGACCCCAGGCCACGGCCTCAGGCCACGCAGCCCTGGGGCGTCCCGGGCCCTCCCCCAAGGAGTCAGGCTGGCCTGATCTCCAGTCTGGGGCTCCAGGTTTCCAGGGCCTCCTTCATGGGTGCAGCCAGCTGTACCCACCAACCCTGGGCTCCTGGCACCGAGTGGGGCAGCGATGGCCCTTTCTGGCCCTGCCTCCTGACCCTTCCCCAGTGCCCCGCTTGCCATGGGCCCACTTTACCCAGCAGCCCCACGCACCGGCCTCCTGCCCACTGGCCGCCCGTCTCAGGGCTCCCCTGACCCCCCAGGACAGGCCGAGGGAATGCTATTCGGGATGGTCCAGAGCCCCTCGGATGGCCCACGCCCCGTACTCCCCAGGTCCCACCCACTCCAG